AGGAAGCGTGGCTCGAGCCGGACTTCTTGGTGGTGGTGGTACCGGTGGTGGAAGTCTTCTTGGGAGGCATGATGAAGGTGGGATGGGTGTGGGTTATTTGAGATGAAATAAAAGGTAGATTATGAGGAGTGATGGACAAGGGAGATGAACCAGATGATTTGCAGAAGCAAGGTTGTTTGGTGGGATGGAAGCAAAGAAGAAGAAAAGCAGTCGACGACGGAAGGGGTGGAAGGCCGCGGGGCATCCGCGCTTTATAGGGCAGCGGGTGTTGACACAGGATCAACTCGACAATCGAGCACAACACGTCAGGTCGCCCTTTCTCCTCTTTTTTTTTCCCTCATTCCTTTTTTTAAATTTTTTCTCTCCTCGTCTCATTTTGCGTGTGAGATTTATCTGTGTATTTGCCTCGGTTGTGTAGTGGCTTAGATTTATTTGGTTCTATCATATCAATGTTCGTGTAGGTCTTCTTGTAGATTGTCTATGCATTCCTTCTGGGCCGAGTTGCTGCTTCCTACTATTTCTTGACGCGCATGATCCAGCAATGATTCCTACGCGTGCTCGCATTTCCTCCATTTTCCCCCTTTCCTCTGAGTATTCTAAAGCTAAAAGTTGCTCCATGCACTTCTCCAGTGGCGCTACTATGACCCTACCACCTTGAATTATTTTTATCTATTTAAGTTGTTTGTGAAACCCGCAATCATTCTGATCCCAACATCAGCCGTCCCCGTTGTGATTGATGCTTTTCGCAACCACCACACCATCTCCAGTCGCATTCACACCACACCCAACAATTCAAATTTCTAATTAAATAAAAACCATATTTAGATTTGTCACAGACTTATCATTCACTATATCTACAAATAATCCTAAAATACGTAGTCAACCCCTGATTCTAACCCCAAAAACCCCGAGGACTCCAGATCACATCCATCCGTGTCCGCCCGATTACTTCTGCTGCAGTCCGATCAAGCTCCCGGATCAACTCCCAACTTACACGCGATGATCATAAGAAAAATAGAACCGATTTGACGCCTCTCTTTCCCCTTGCATCAATCACATTCATTGGTCTTTCACGTCTGGGGCGCAAAACTATGAATGGAACGGCTGGGGGGGTAGGGTGGACAAGAGGCGTTCATGTTTCACTTTGTTCTGATTTCCCTCGTGCGGAGAGGCTCTGGGGTCACGAGGTAACAAGATGATGTTATGGATTTGACTTTGGGGGGAAATTGGGGGGTGGTAGACCCAGCTTTGAGAATTAGCGTATCCAGTGAGCTTGTGAGCAAAAGTGAAAGGTCCTGGGGAAATCCGGGCCTATGATCGACCATTCTTTGCTCTGTGATCCAGAGCTCCATTGACTTTGATCCCGTGGTTACATCGGCTTGGCGGTTGCTCGCGGTTCGATGGTTTGGAAGTAGATATATGTTTTCTCTTGGTAGTAGTCATTGTACTACCTGTTCTGATCTATTCATTGGCTTTCGCAGAGGTATCTCTCCTTGGAATAGGTTGTTCGTCCGGGGTTGTTGCGTAGACTTGATATCTAGAAGTGATGGTTGATATCAGCGGCGGGCCGGTTGATCGTTTGATGCCATGCGCCGACGCCGGATCACGAGCCCTGATAAGAGGACAACTTTCTTTCTTGATCCTCGTCCCAAACCACGGTGTATATGGGTCTATTGCACATGGTAGCTTAATCTCTGGTATCTAGAATAATTCAGGTACTGAAATTGAATATGACAGCGAATGGATGACTGGTTAAGCTTGAGGAATGCTTGGCGAGAGAGTATCAGGGTCCCCCTCGGCTTCAGCAGCCGTGATCTACTTCACTCCCGTCCACAACGGCTTTAGTCCACTTGCTTACTTTATTGCTATGCGTTATTTTTCTTGCTATTATCGATGGTCTGGATTCTGTGAGTATGCGGATTCTCATTTTATTGGTCAGTACGTAGCGTTGTGAATCCTGTTAGTCGATGTCAATCACACATCACATTATATATTTCCTAGTAGTAGTTTCCCCTCACCCGAGGGGCTAGAATACTTAGTAGTACCATCACTACGCCACCAAAAGGATAAAATCACCCAATAATATTATTTGATAGAACCCATCAGAGACTGCTATTTACAAAACACATTATACCCCATACTGATAGTCCCATCTACATAGGAAAACGGGCAGAACCAATGCTCCCATCAACGCGCGTTGAACCCGCATAGTAGGGTAGGGTACGGAGTACTAAGCAGTAGTAGAGGCGGACAGTCGCGTGACCCCACACCACCCACCTCCCAAGAGCAATCAATCGTACGACCGTTACACACCATGAAAAAGAAAAAGGCTAAATACTAATAGTAGCGCACAATATACCTCTAATACTACATGAAGCTGGGATACAATCCTACAGAACTCTATTAAAAAATGGAGCAAAAGAAAAAGGGGCGCACGCAATGCGATGCGTCTCACCGAGTCCCAGGTTCTCCCGATCTACATAGTACAACAGAACCTTGATTTGAATCATGTACGACTACCAGTCGGGTTGAATCCCCCTCCTCCAAGCCTAGAACAAGTGTAAATATGTCAGGCAACAAAGTTTCAGTTTGCTGCGGAGTTATTAGCTGCCTTATCTATCTATAGTGTGTGTTGGTTATTGCTTTTCCAGTCCTTTCATTTCTAGACAGCAAAAAAGAATCTTCCACGTCGTAGGTATATACGTGGCATGCTGAACTCGTGCATATTCATCATCCATCCATTTATCCTGCCGGTTGGAACGCCTCTCGCCTGAAGTAACTAGTTACACATGATTGATTGCTGCATGTTGTGAATGAATAAACCCGGGAACGCCTCTAGACACCATGAATTCGGGAAGAACTCGGTGAACATTTTATAGGCCGACGTGAGGTGTCGGTCAATGTGTCGCTGCTTTTTTCTGGTCGTTATCCAACAACCAATTGGGACCAAAATTAATGCCTGGTATTTAACCAGCACCGCGGGGCCGTGACTTGGCCTCTTTCTTGGCTTTGGCATCTTCCTTCTTTTTCTTCTTCTGCTCTTGGATTTTCTCATCGTGTTTGCGCTTCAGGCTCGCCTTCTCTTCATCAGTGCGGGCGACCGGCTTGAAGAATCCCTCTAAGCGGGATTGTTGAGCGGACTTCAAGTTCTTTTGCAAGCGAGCAGCGCCGTTCTTGACGCGGTCCTCGTTGAAACCCTTGTCCTTGACCAGGAAGTCTACTAGACCGGGCACGTCGGGCGCTTCCCACTTAAAGTCGCATTCGGGATCATTGGCGTCCCGCACGTCGGGGTTCAAGAAGAGCTCTCTCGCATCCTCGTAGGGCCAATCCTCGGGAACGACAAACTTCTTCTTCGGGTCGTTCTCCATAAACTCAAGCACCTTCTCCAGGCTTCCGTGGTCACGGATTAGCTTCAGCGCCGTGTTGGGTCCGACCTTGGGGATCGGCTCAAGGTAATCGCAACCCAGCAAGATACAAAGATCAATGAACTATAACACATCAGTAAGCATCCTCGAGGCGTAATATCGAAATGAACTTCGGGACCATACCTGCTTGCGGTCCATACCAAGGCCCTCCAGCGCACGGTTCAGATGAATCTCCTGAATGGGTTCCTTCCTCTGTTCACTGAACGTAAGGTGGCGCAAGAGAATTGGCGTCTCAAAGCATAGTGTGTCCATATCCTCCGAAGCAGCTGCATAGACCTTTCCAGCGCGCGCGAGAACCGCGCACTGCGCCTCGGCTTCTGTGGGGGCATCGATGTACGGAATGCCCATCAACTTTAAAAGCTTCTTACATTCTGCATTGTGCTCTCTGGTGACTCGTACTGTGCGTCGCGAGAACTTCTCAACATCCTCTGCCGTACCGGTTTCCTTGGCCTCCTCGTGAGCCTCGGTGGCTTCGCTCTTCCGAGCAAATCGCTTGGCTAGTTCGCCGGACTTGAGCTTCGGGGGAGCTCCATCAAATACGTACAGAGGCTTGATGCCATTGTCGACCATGCGCAGAGTGCGGTAGAACATGCCCATCAAATGCGACGTTGTCTCTCCGGTGTCGCTCATAAGCTGCTGACCTTCGGAACGGACGGCAATGAGGAAACTGTAGATACTCATGGAGCTGGATGGCAGTTAGCAAGACAAAGCAGTGCGGTAATGCGGGCAATGGAAGCTTACGCATCCTAAGAAATCAAATTTCGTTAGCTCCGTCTAAATCGAGAACAGCTTGCTCACTGAGAGCGACAGCGAAGAGGATAGGAGTGCTTAACATACTATAGCGACCTTTCGGCCAAAGTGGTTCTTAATGTCCCCTGCCTTGATGGCATCTGGGGCATTCTCTGAAATCACCTGATACAGCTCTGAGCGTGGTCAGCTCCCATGAGCTCCTGAGGATGGAGAATGCGCTGCGACAGAGCAGGCTTGTGGAGGGGTGATATTGATTGAGAATACTTACGTTTAATACCCATATTGAGCTCTTCACTACTATCCAAAACCAGGTGAGGTACAAACTCTCTGTCACCGCAAGCAGTTGGAAGGGAATGGCAGGCAGAAATCAGAGGGGAGCCGCGACAGTGACGCGCCGCGGAGAGCTACGCGACATGCGTCATTTATAGACCCGGTTAGGCTTAGCGGCAGCCAGGCAGCTCTTTTCCACGTGACAGACATCCGCCCCGCGGTGGGAAGTTCCCCGGCCCCTCTTACATAAGAGCAATCAGGCTGCAAGGCCACCAGGCCCCACCCGGCGAGGCCCCGTGCAGAACCCAAAGCAGTAAGGCGCCGTTTGTTATCGGGCCTGGCCGTCTCGGACTCTCGGTCGAGCAGGCAAATCGCAGCTCTCGGAAACGCAACCGCCGGCATTTGCAATGTTCACCCCCAGACCCCTCTCTCCTCTCCTCTCCTAGGATTGTTCCTGTGCCGTTGGCCCTCTCGTGGTGGATATAGCCCGGAATTATCCCCACTCTCACGCGACCTACATGATTTGCCTATGACGATGCGTCTTGCATTGGCATCATGAAGCGAAGTCGTCTTCATTTCGAGTCCAACGGTGATGCCTCCTCTGCCGCCTCTCCCCAGAGTACCCGCCCACAGTATACCCCGGAAAATGACTCACAGCAGAGCCCGAGGCATGTCCCCAAGATCTCGCGCAGAATCAGAGCTTGTACGGAATGCAAACGCCATAAGGTCCGCTGTGATATGAATGCGGGGGACACCGTTTGTCACAGATGTCGTCGCATGGGCCTGGAATGTGTTGTCAACAAAAGCCTCCAGACGTTGCTGGACGATGAGACAGAGTAACTATACCACTTCTTTTTGTTTTCATTCGCATAGTTTGCAGGAGACCCAGTGACTGACTATCTCTGGTGTATTCTAGATGGAAGGCCACAATAGAGCTCGCAATGGCAGACCTACTACGAAAGGCCCAGCTACCCGATCTTTCATATTATCAAACTAATGGAAAGGCATCAGAGCCACTGTCAAAGAAAAGAGACCGCCAGGATTCTACAGTGTCGACGGAAGGCACGCCTCTTGGGACGGATCACGATGTTGGAGCAGAGCGTCTTGAGAGCAGCGCGCAGAGAGTAGCACCCGAGCCCAGAACATCCGAAACCACCTTCCAACAGCCTTCACAATACGCCCTAGACAGGGAAGAGAATGGAACCTCATCGCTGGTCACGGCTCCGATGGGGAGTCTGTACGAAGTGACACAGTTGAGCGATATTCAGACAACTTCACCGGGAAGGCATCATGCACCAGATCGGGCTCTTGTCACCGATTTCGTTTCGCGGGGAGTAGTGGATTTGCACGAGGCGGAGGAGCTTTTCTCCTACTTTGATCAAGTACTTAGCCGTTATCTTTGGGATGGGATATTGCTGGACCACAAAGACCTGACCTCTGTGAGGAACTCTTCCTCGATGCTCTCCGCCGCCATTCTCGCTGTCACAGCCCTGCATTTGCCCAAGAAAGAACGCACATTCGATATTTGCTATACGGAGTTTGCTAGGTTAGCATCAGAATCAATGCTAGACAGACACCACACCCTGGATGATCTGCGCGCTTTATGTATAGGCGCCTTTTGGCTTGCAGACGTAAGCTGGAAGCTGTCTGGGTATGCAGTGCGGATTGCCACGGAGCGCAACCTGCATCAGTCTTACCGGAAAGCAACACAAGGCTCTCCAGAGCATATAGAACAAGCTAGGCTGTGGTATCTTCTTTATGTACGTCTCAACGCGACCGATTGTAGCCCTGGTGGGCTTCGTGCAACGAGACTGACTGGCCTAGACCCTAGAGCATCACTTTTCCATCGCCTACGGACGACCCCCGATAATCCACGAGGACCAGAGCATCAAGAATCACAATACTTTCACCCATGCCCCTAACGTGCAACAAGGTGACCTGCGTCTACACAGCCAGGTCGACCTGTTTATCATTCTTACCCGAATATACCACGCCTTTGGACCCGATGTCGACTTGGAGGTTCCCGACAGCGAATTTTCTACCATTGATAAATATGACGCCGACCTTGACAACTGGCGGATAGCCTGGTATCCGCGCTTGGGTACGTTTTCTGTTCCTCGGTATATTGTCTAGGTGCACATTTCGCTAATGTGGCTCGACAAGCAGTTGGGAGTCGATATGTCGGTGCATACCCTTACAGAGCGGTTAATCTGCATTATCATTTCTCTCGATTACAGCTGAATTCAGTTGCTTTGCGGACCTATCACTCTTCGATATCGACACGACCCATGTCTGCTGAGCGAAAGAAGCGCGCGAATATAGCCATACAGTCCGCCATAGACACACTTCGGGTGGTCCTAGATGAGCCTGATATTCAGAGGGCTCTGGTTGGCGTTCCATTGTACCTCCACAGTATGATCACTTTTGCCGCCGTTTTCCTACTGAAGATTGCGGCCAAGGGCTGCTCCAGCAGCATCCCCAACAACCAAGGCCAGCAGAATTCCATTTCTTCAGCCGGCCTGCACATTGACGTTGCGTACGTGCGGGAGCTGGTCGGGCGGATTGTTAATATGATGGTCTCGTGCAGTAAGCGTGCAAGCGAGCACCATCTCAGCCACCATATAGCCCGTGGCTTAAAAAAGATGCTCACGGGGTTGGAGGAATGGGAGAAGAGGAATCTTGGTAATTCCCAGTCTCTGACACATAACTCTCATGATGCTCTGCCCATGTTCAAACCGGTTGTTATCCCCGGGGCTCAGCCCCTTGGAGAGCGGGACACGATACTGAACCCCCCTCCTCCATTGCTGGGAGTTGCTCCCTTGTCGGCTGAGAGAGGAAATAGCTTCGACTCAGATGCGACACAGGTGAAGGCCCAGACGGGCCTCTCAGAAGGGTCGGTGGACCCTATGATGGCTGATCTTTGGGGCTTTGATGAGGATTACTTCCCGACCGGGGTGTTTGATTTCCTTCAGTCCCAGATGCCTGCTTGAGCATACCGTATGGGGCAGCGTGTTTCAGTCTTTACTGAGAACTATATAAGTCGAAGCACCAGTTGTTTACCATGGTGTATATAGTATCCAAAATACAATCCAGAAACGAGCCAGCCGGCTCTGGTCTAGAAACAGCAAACCATTTAGCTGATTCCAGACGAGTGGTTTCTTTCTCTAGTAATCGCCTTCGCAGGCTGGCCTCGCAACTGTTGCAGATTCATGATGAATACTAGATAACGGACAGTATTGTAGAGTATACAGTGCTGTTCCTCGTAGACCACCGTCCTTATTATACATTAACAATCCGTACAGCGAAATGCCGGACAAACGAGATATCCGCCTGGGCTCTATATATACAAGTTCTGAGAAGGACCGGTTATTGGGCGCCAGCGCCGACGGAACGGGCTGCAAGCCGAACTCGGCCGCGGAAGAGTGTCCCCGCGGCTCGGTTGGGGAGTTGGAGGTTCAGTGAGCATGAAGCATATAAGGGGCGTATCTACTGCTGGAGTATGCTTTATAGTTCACTGAAATATCAATCAATTGGGTATATTACTACCGTGATTTCTAGGGTAAGTTCAAATGCTCCCATGAACCTTTCCCGACGGATTGCCGAGGTTGGGGGAAACCGAGACACCGAAAGTGTGCCTGGATGAATGTCTCCCCGCAACAACCTCCGAACCATCTATCCCTTGGCTGTCGCAACCCCAGTTGCCTCTCGCATCCCAAGACATCTGGTCACTCCAATTAATATTGTCTTGGTTACAGATATCTCTGACTTATTATAACCTTACTCGCGCCTACAATCTCACATCATGAACCCATCCAGCTTCCGCACGGCTTCGCGCCACCTCCACCGCCTGTGTCGAGCACCCGCAACTTCGCGCAATGCTTCGGTCCGTGGATACGCTACGACTTTCAACTGGGAGGATCCTTTGGTCGCATCGGAGTTGTACACAGAGGAGGAATTGGCTATTCAAGACACAGCTAGGCAGTACTGCCAGGAACGCCTGCTACCCCGCGTTCTAGGTATGCCCGCCACTCCTTAAAGGCGACGAGGGAAATACTCATGTGGTGGATCATGGCTAATAACTATGCGCATACTAGATGCCTACCGGAACGAGAACTATGACCGCCAGATCTTGACCGAGATGGGCGAACTCGGCCTCCTTGGCGCGAACATTGAAGGGTATGGTTGCGCCGGCGCAAGTACCGTGGCCTCCGGTCTCATCACAAAGGAAGTCGAGCGTGTGGACTCAGGATACCGTTCAGGAATGTCTGTTCAGAGCTCCCTGGCTATGACAGCCATTCATGACTTCGGTACACAGGAGCTGAAGGACCGATTCCTCCCCGAGCTGGCAAAGGGAAAATTGGCTGGATGCTTTGGTCTCACTGAGCCCAACCACGGCTCTGACCCTGGCTCCATGGAGACAGTCGCCCGGGAGCACCCTACCAAGAAGGGATACTACTTGCTCTCTGGCACCAAGACCTGGATCACCAACTCCCCTATCTCCGACATCATGATCGTCTGGGCTAAGCTGCAGACCACGGGCAAGATTCGTGGATTCGTCGTCGAACGCAGTCAATGCCCGCCGGGTACTCTGGAGACGCCCGCCATCAAGAACAAGACTGCCCTGCGCGCTTCTATCACTGGTATGATCCAGATGGATGACTGCCCTGTTCCCGCGGAGAACATGTTCCCCGAGGTTCAAGGGCTCGCTGGTCCCTTCACCTGCCTTAACAGCGCTCGTCTGGGAATTGCCTTTGGAGCTATGGGTGCGCTCGAAGATTGCCTGAACCGTGCCCGCACGTATGCGCTCGAGCGCAAGCAGTTCAAGGGTAACCCGCTGGCGAAGTACCAGCTCATTCAGAAGAAGCTGGCAGATGCGGCTACGGATGCTGCGTATGGCACACTGGCTGCGACACAGGTTGCCCGGCTTAAGGATGCCGGAAAGTGCACACCGGAGATGATCTCGATGGTCAAGAGACAGAACTGTGACCGTGCTCTGGCTAACTCGAGAATGTATGCCCTCCACATGAGAACCTTTGGCAGGAAAGCAAGCTGATCCATCCTATTACAGTCTCCAAGAAGTGTTTGGCGGCAACGCAACGAGTGACGAGTACCATATCGCCCGGCATGTAGCCAACCTGTTTGTGGTGCAGACCTACGAGGGACAGAGTGACATTCATAGTGAGTACCACCTTGTACTACTTTCCTGTCTATATGGCGACTAATCACAATCAGCCTTGATCCTCGGCCGCGCCATCACCGGCGTCCAGGCATTCGTCTAGACGATCCGATATTTCAACCCCTAATTCTCAGTTCATCTACCTACCTACCTGATGAATCCCTCACATATACATGTACATATACAACCACAAATATCCAAACACAGGGGCTACAATAACCCCAACCATACTCCATATCCCAAGCACTACCTACCCACAGAATATCTCTCATACATCTACCCCAAACAGCATGAAACATAGTAATACTAGGTATGAATCGACCCTTCCAGAAACGGTCTTTCCCATCACGTGAGAAACAAGTACGTACCTAAGCCCATGCTGCGCCACGTGGCAAGGGCACCCGCAAACCGCACTGTATGTAACATGATTACAAACAGGAAGAGTTACTTAGTTATGTTACTTGGGTAAAGTTAGTCATAATCCTTAGGTGGTAATGACTTCGGGTTTGCCTCCCAATGAAATATCCGGATCGATGGTGGAATAATGACCACAAAGAAACTTAGTAGGAGTTTTCAAGGTTTGGTGCAACTTCGGGAAGAAGAAAGTTTAAAGAATAGAATTATGTGTTTCACTTAATACGGAGTACTATTAAGAGGGGGTTGGTTGGTTGTTTGTTGCCGAAGAGGGGAGGTGTATGATCTATCTACTACTTACATGTGTATGGGTGTGGGGATGGAAAGTATGTACAGTAAGTAGGGAAGAATTTGAAGCAAACTACGTATTAACTACAAAGTAGGGTAAGTAGTTTGCAACTTACCGTTGCCACTGCCGCCGGGAAAGAAATGGATCTTATGGAAGATTCATTTTGTGGGGTGTTTGTTGGGTGGCACAGATAAATTAATATTTGATAATAGTGAGTATCTACCTTGTTGTATAGTATAGTATAGTATCTGCTAAAACAAGAGGGGTGTAGTATCGGTATACTACCTTAATATAAGTCGGAGTATCTTTTAGGAAGTCATATGCTTTGCCCGGTATGCATGCACCTGAAGTAGTATCTACTAATCATCTAACTGTAGTAGCCTAATAGGTGTAGGTGTGCGTGATAGATTACGAGTTATATTACCAAGAGAGAGAGAGAGAGAGAGAGAGAGAGAGAGAGAGAGAGAGAGAGAAAAAGGCAAAAAAAAAGAGATCCATTATTTCTGATAATATCGACCCAGTCAACGGGCAGAACCAACATTGCAAATGGGCAAACAACGGTGGTGGCCACCAGTTAGGTAAGTACGTAGTACAAAGTGAGCGGACTGCCGGTAACCACTCAGCCTATCGGTTTTGTCCACCGTCCGATTGATACCCGTCTGGGAGGGACCCGAAATTGAAGGTGTGGCTGACAATGGAAGGGAGGGAGGGGCTGTTCAGGTGGATATCTTGGATTGTCAGGGCTGACTTGGGAATGATGACGATGTTGGTGATGACGGAGAGTGCCGGGTGTCATTTAGATTATTCATAAGGGGGAAAAACAGCCTATATTTGGGTCTCCAACTATTGGATGATCACTATTAGAAAGAAGAGGAAGCAGCAAAATCGGCAGAAGCAGGATGATGCATCTAGAATGTCCGACTGGATTGGGAAATGACGATGGAAGGAAGAGGGAGGGTGTGGCGCAACAGTGGCTGACGGACGCCTGACTAAGGCAAACCCGATTAAATAAGCCGAGTAATCAGTCGGTAATAACCGGTAAATACGGGTTCAGAGGGGCTGGTGACTGGGCTGGGTTGCCCGCCTTTCCCTTTCTCGCTCTTCCCGTCCACTGACTGACTTTCCCTCTTCTTTCTCTTCTCCTCTCTCTCTTCCTCTTCTCCTTCAGCCCAATTCCCCCTCTTCTTCCTGTTCGTCTTCCGACGTAATCAGCCCACGGTGAGTCTCTTCCTCCATTCCATCCTCAACCCCTCTCAACTTCCCCCTCCAGTCTAGTCGACTTTGCTAGTCGTCTTCTTCTTTGCTCCTGTTCGTCGTTGTCGTTGTTCTTCTCTTCTTACATATCTCGCCGTTGTGCTGACTGGGAAATCGTGTGCAGATTTCCACCTTCAAATTCGATACCACTCGCTTTGCACTTTTAACCTAGGAGATCCTCTCCATTCTTTACACATCACACATTCGCCATGGCTCTCAAGAGAATTAACAAGGAACTCACTGACCTCGGCCGGTAAGACTTGTCCTCATCATCTTGTTTCCCCTCGCCTGCCTCTTTGCCGCCGCCTGGTGTTACACCCCACCACAGCCGCGGGGCGTTCGTCTACCCTCCGCCAGACAGCACCTGTGTCATTACGCATTGCCAGGGCATGTATAGAAGTATGCTAACGTGGTTGTCTTCATTTCACAGTGATCCCCCCTCTTCTTGCTCTGCTGGTCCTTCCGGAGATGACCTGGTATGGTTTCACCCCTCCGACCCCTCGTTGCACACGGTCGCATTGCCGCTTTCGCCGACTGCGGCGGGGCAGTCCAACGCAGATTTGCCTCAGACCTCTTTATCAACGACATAATGCCTGAAATGAATACTGACAACGGTTTGCTGCACAGTTCCACTGGCAAGCAACTATCATGGGTCCTGTGAGTATACCCGGATTTCTTCTGTGACGTCCGGATGTAGCAAGTGTCTCTGTTCCTTTGTCGGGAGGACCTTGCGGCACCCAACGGCGTCTTCAGCCTTGCTATCTTGGAGTATCATTTGCTAACCCGACTTCCAGGGTGACTCCCCCTACTCAGGAGGTGTTTTCTTCCTGAACATCCACTTCCCCACCGACTACCCATTCAAGCCCCCGAAGGTCAACTTCACCACTCGGATCTACCACCCCAACATCAACGCCAACGGCAGCATCTGCCTTGACATCCTCAGAGACCAGTGGAGTCCTGCCCTCACAATCTCGAAGGGTATGTTCTCTGCCTACAGACGCTGTTTACGTATATACTGACTGTTGCAGTGCTACTTTCGATCTGCTCCATGCTCACAGACCCCAACCCCGACGACCCGTTGGTGCCGGAAATCGCTCACGTGTACAAGACGGACCGTCCCCGGTACGAAGCGACCGCGCGGGAATGGACTCGCAAATATGCCATCTGATCTTCGCAATTCAATTTCCACGGCCACCTTGGTCTTCCCAATCCGCTTCTGCGTCTTCTTTCACTCCGTTAGATCAGATCCGAAGCCTGGCGTACCGTGATCGTAGATCCTTTCCTTGTTATTCTCCGTGAACTATTTGCGTGTGTCTGGAATTCCGCGTTTACCCCCTTATTTTCGCTTTCTCCATTTTATTTGCGGGGGAAATGTCATATCCAACGATCATTATGACCACTTCTCATTATGCATTCATGGCATTTTTTATTTTCACTCAATGGAGTCGGATAAATGTTACCTGATGAACATAAGGCCCCAGGAAGGGTGTGGTTTTCGATAATTCCTCGGGTCGGGGTTGAGGGGAGGATGCTGGGTACTGGTACGGTCGTGAGGCTGAAGCCTCTAGGTGGTGGAAATGGATAAGCGGGGATGAGGAGAGGAGATGAGGGAAGTGAGGGTTGGTTAATTGGCGATGCTGCTGGTAAGGGATTTGGTGGCTTGTATTCTTCAGTAGGACCAATCAGTAGGAACCATTAGCAGGAACCAATTACCAGTGGATCGTGTGCTCAGCAGTGTAGGTGTAGATACTGTAAATACATGGTAGCCAGACCCAACTGGCGGTGTAGTTCGCATGTTTGCCTATACGGACAGCATAGATTCGATGTATCATCTATAGTAGTCGTGTTGATGCCTGAGGCTAACAAGGGATCCTGCGCTGATCACTGACTTCCATCCATTTCACCATCAATCAACCTGTATCCATATACTACAGAATAAATCAACCCCAATGGCATCCCTCCTAAGACCCCTAAGAAGCCCTACCATCCGTCGAATACCCCCATCATATAGACAACATACATCCCATCACTACCTCCCCAAAGACATCCCCATCGAAGAAGAAACTCTCCCCCACTACAACCCCAAGCAATACTACCCCGTCAACATAGGCGACATCTACCACTCCCGATACCAAATCATAGGAAAACTCGGATACGGAAGTACTTCCACGAGCTGGGTGTGTCGGGATCTTCGGTGTGCAATATCCCTATTATATATAATAGATAAGATTTCTAATGATATACATATGACCAACCACATTTCTATATTCAAGATCCAAAAACACTGATGATAAAGAAGACAATGAATACAAAGTCCTCAAAATCTCCACTTCAATACCAACGAAGGACTCTCATAACCGCGAATACAGAGTGTATGAACATCTCGCCAACGTAGTTGAAAAGGGAAGTTTACATCCGGGGCAATCGTTGATTCGCGAGGTGTATGATTCTTTTGAGTTGCAAAATGCAGCACCACTACCAGGAGTAGAAGAAGAGGGAGAAGAAGGAAAAGAAGAAGGGAGTATACACCAATGTCTCCTCCTCCAACCCATGACCATGTCCCTGCACGATATGCTACAACTAAACTCTAGACCGTTCGATCTCCCGCTGTTAAAGATGACGATTAAGCGGATCTTACTCGCGTTGGACTTTCTGCATGTGGAGGCGGGGGTGGTTCATACTGGTATTATCACCTTTTCTATTTCTATCCCCATATATTTATATATCAATCACTTAGTTATTAACTAATATACTATATAAAATAAATGATAGACATAAAACCAGACAACATCCTCCTCACCCTCCACGACCCTACCCTCCTCCTCACCTTCGCAGCCGCAGAATCCACATCCCCAAGCCCTAGAAAGATATCTGTATCTGACCCCCCACGAACCATCTACAAATCTCGCCCCTTCCCCCCTCCAAAAGGAGGTAAAAACTACGGCCTCCCCACGCTCTGCGACTTCAGCGAAGCGCGCATCGGCACTGTGCAAAAAGACACGGGACCCTTCATCCAGCCGAGTATTTACCATGCGCCCGAGGTCATCTTCGAGATGGATTGGGGGTGTGCTGTTGATGTTTGGGGTGTGGCGGGTGTTGTATGTTCATCTTTCTTTCTCTTCTTCTTAGTGATTGTAAATGCATGGTGGTTAATGATTGATAATTGATATACTATGATGATAGATATGGTCCCTCTTCGAAGGCGACCACCTCTTCGGAGACGATAACATATTCGACCCTAGAACAGGCCACCACGATCCATTCCGCCATGTAGCGCGCATGGTAGCGGTCATTGGATCACCGCCACCCGGGGAGTTTGTATGTAGGAGTGAGACCACGACGCAGTGTTTTGATGAGGGGCGTTAGTTATACCACCCCCCCTACTCCTCCCCCGTTCTCTTTCATTTGTTGTGTTTGGAGTGAAAGAATTATAAGGTTGATATGATGGGCATATAGGTACCTGGATTGCCCACGATGAAGCGCCTATCCCCAGTGATGTATCTCTAGAGTTATTGGAAAGGCGTTTGGCTGGTACGGAGAAAGAAGTTTTTCTGGGGTTTATGAGGAGTATGTTGAGGTGGATGCCGGAGGAGAGGTGGACGGCGGGGGAGTTGTTGGGGCATGAGTTTTTGAGGTGATTTTTTTTTTATTGTATGGTTCTTGGATGGGGTGGGGATAGGTTTTATTTATGTTGGGGGGTTCGGGGGGTTTAGGGAGTGGTTAATGTTATTTGAGGGGGGGTTGGTGATTGTGTGTTGATAGATACTACTAAGTGGTATATGTGTTGTATGTAGAATGTTGTTTAGAAGGGGGTGTGTGTTATTGTATGAAGGAGGGAGGATCATAGTATAGTATATGTATTGAAGCAGGGTTTTATTTTGGCTTCAATCTACTGTCTTGTGGGACTTATCGATACTTGGAACTAATGAGTCTTGTGTGTTGATGTTATAGTCTTTCTGTTGTAAGTTGATTGCTAGTATCTAGATGAGTCAGATGCGTCGTGTGACTATAACTGAACATGACTGCTAAGTTAGCTAGTTTCTAATATGATCAATTCTTCTAGGAGCTTGCTCAATAATTTGGATAACTTTATATATATGCATTTGCGCCTTGACACACCTTTCCAACCAATGCTCAATGCTCAATGCTCAATGCTCAATCTTCATGCAGGATAAAGATAATAAAATGCAGATTCAAACATTCTTATGCTGTACGTATAGTATAGTATATAATCGCAGATAAATGCCAACGAAATATATCTGAAGAACACGACCAACCCATTGAATAACACAATAAATCAAACGCCAGGTTTCATGCTTTCCCAAACCAATATGTAAAAATGTAGTAGAGTAACAGTTGTGCCTCACATACAAGGTCTGTAATGCAAATATGATGGTGTAATTATCACAGCCATGTGGAAGCTGCGTCTGAACAAGGAGAATAGGAGAAACGAAGAATGTAAATGTGCAGAAGCTAAGCCACCTGGCTGGCAGTTCGGCGACTCACTTTCGAGGCAGCCTTGGACGGAGCGACACTGCCGCCACCACCACTACCACCAGCCTTCATGGTCCGCTGGGACGCTCTGGAGACGTTGGTAGAGACTTGGCTGACACTGTCGCTGGGCTTGACGGGCTCGTCGAACTTGGAGTGCTTGGATACCTTGGAAGGGCTCTTGGAAGCATGCGACCGGTGCGAGTAGGAGGACCGCCGGGAGTCGTCCACTTGACTGATCGAGTCGTCAGGGGTGACGTGGCTCTGGACGTCGAGGTCGACGACACTCTCGGGAAGAGGAACCTCACGAGCGGAGACGCCCGATTTGGCACCGCTGCGGTAAGAGGCGAAAGAGGCAATGGATCCCTCAGGGAGAGGAACCTGGCGGGCAGTGCGGTTGGAAGAGGCGGTGCTGCCGGCTTGCGATCGGCTCACGGAGTGGTAGGAATGGTGCGAGGAGTGATGAGAGCTGTGGTGGGACTCTTGGTAGTTGGCCTTGGAGGGAGGCCGAACCGTGGCGGATGAGTAGACACTGCCACCATCCATCGCCCGCGACTTGTCCTCACGGAAGCTGCTGACCAGGGTGCTCTGGTAGCCTCGGGAATCGGCCGGCGGGGCGTACTCGATCGCCCGCAGGGGGATATCCTTGGTGGTGTACACGCTGCCCTCGGAGGCCCGACGGCCGTTCTCATCGAGGTAGACGCTGCCACCGCGTGGAACAAACTCCGTGCCCTCGTAGATGGTGTCTGCGCGAGGGTTCTTCGAGGTAACACTGCGGGTGAGGCCCGGGCGGGCATCCGACCGAGAAGAATAAACGCTCCGCGGGGGAGGAGCCTCGATAGCCTTGTAGCCAGGGTATTCTTCCTGGGCTTGAAAGGGTGCTTGGGACGGGGAGAGCATCTGGACAATGTCCCGGGGCGAATACTGCGGGGGAGGGGTACTGCCCTCGGAATGTTGTTCTGAGGAGTCGGACTTGGTCATGGCATATGCGAGTGCAGCGCCAGCCGCAGCGCCAATCAGGGTACCGACAATGGTCTTGGCCGTCTTACCATCGTCAGTCTTCTGCTGAGTGGTGGTGTGAGTCGTGTGGTGCACAATATACGTGGGCGACGGGGCCGGCTGCATCTCGCGAGGCTGCTGGGATTCACGGCTAACGCTGATGGTGGACGGCGCGCGCTCGTACGGGGGAGGCGCTCGGTCCACGGCCGTCGAGGACCTGGAAACGTACGAGCGAGCTTCAGACTTGGGAGGCGCAACGCTCTCGGGACGGACGGAGCTGGCCTTGCTGCTCGCCTTCGATACAACCGAGCCGTTCTCGAGCAAAGCCAGGGCTGGCCTAGTGAGCTCAGACCTGGCTTCAGATCTGGCTTCCGACTTGGCCACGGACTTGGCCACGGACCGGACCTCGGAGCGGGCTGATGAGATGCTAGGGCGGTATACTGCCTCAATGCTGTTGCCATCAAAGTCGATGACAGCGGCGCTGTAGTAACCAGAGTCGGAGTCGCGTTGCTTAGGCTCGCCATGGATCTTGCCTCCTGCCTTGAGGGCATTGATAAAGAAGGTGCTCACAGCATCCTTGGATGCTGCAGGAAAGGCGACATGAGCGGCACCTGCAGGTACGCTGCAAGGTCACAGTTAGTTATCGTAACACGACTCAATAGCATTGACGGACACTTACCCAGGTTTTTGTTCTGTGATCCAGAAATCTGCGGGCTCGCCGGTCTTTTGACCGAAACCAATGTAGTCATCGTGACGTCCAATGAATTGGTACCCCAGAGGTTGTAGGCAGGAAAGAAAGAAAGATGTGGAGGTAGGCAGGTGAGCAACCGTCAGGGTGAGGTGAGAGACGGGCATGTCTGTGTGGACTCGCTGGGTATGTCCCTTTGCGAGTCGTGGTATAGAAAGGTGAAGTCAGGGGAAGAAAAAAGAGGTATGGAGGGGGAGCAGCGAGACGAGATAAATAGTAGATCTCAGATGGAGAGAGATCCACCAACAGGAGAGATCAAAAAGTCGATTGCAGACTCAGAAGCGAGTAAGAGAACAGGAGGATATATATACACAAAGACTGGAGAGATAGATAGGAGAGACCCATGAAATCATGAGAGAGGAATGGAGAGAAGCCGGCGAGAAGCAGCACTAGTATTTCAAGGCAAGATGCAGGCCAACCTTAGGACTTCAGGAGTATGCCCCCGAAATGCCCAACTTGGGATCCAATCACGAGCGGTCAGAAGCTTACAGGGGGAGCAAATTATCATGGAAACTCGACCAGTTGTTCCAACCGTGGAGCACGACTAGACTAGGCCGGTTATCGCAGGCAGGCTTGCATAGACTCGCACGGCATCCGAACGATGCCCAGTATAATCCACGAGGCATCAACATCGTCTAGGCTCAGTCTGCAGGAAGTTGCCAAAGGGGATAGGCTCGGAGGGTGCTATCGCAAGGCCGCCACCCACTCTGACACATACTCAGACGACCCATGATGTTATTTTTTCGGTGAAGCTAATATCGAGGGGTACGAAAACTCTCAAGATGGCCGCCAGGTCATCGTGGGGAAAGACTGGCGGACGGTGCTGTAGGTGGCCCTGTCGCGGCGGACGGGGCGCCTATCAGAAAACGGTGGGGACTACGCAGGAGCCAAGGGTAGACAGCAGCATCTTGTCCAAAAGGGAACTTGAGTGAGGCGAGAGGGTCCAGGACAAGGTGGATGAAGGGGATTGGCAGTGGTGGAGACGGCAGCTACCAAACGAAAAACAGACGCTGAAACCGCGACAGGTGCGTAGACCGGCGTCAAAGAAGGGATTGGGGGGAAATTCCCTTGACTTTCTTGAAGACCTAACCTAAACCATTGATTGTAACGACGGGCTCACTCGGCTAGGGCCCAGGATTGGACATCAGACAAACGCCTTGGGGAGGTCGCCAATCACGAGGGAACAACGAATCGCATACGGGCATGTCAGCAAGCAGCCGTGTTGAGGAATAATAGTAGAGAGAAAAGGAGGGGAGCCACTGAGGGGCAAATCTGCTTGACCGATGGGGGTTTTTGTTCCTGCTTCGGGCACATTTGCTGCTGTTAGTCGCCGGCCGGTGCGATCTGACCGCCAGATGTTCCTCCAGTCCGGCGATGCTGCGGCGTGGATCATTGCCTCCCGGCACGACGAAAAGAAAGGTATATTCCGTATAGGAGCATCTAGAATCAAGATTCTTTCCGGAAAATGACGAAGAAAAGGAGGTGACTATCACCATCATTCTGTCATCATGGAGTTAGTTGGTGGTATACGGTGATATCCGTTTCTCGCCGGAAGTGGATGGGATGGCTCATCAGCCAACAGCATCATCGGTGTTTGTAGCGTCGTCAAATGACTAGATGGATGATTGAGATGGTCCATTGGTTTCATGTACGGAGAACCCAGTGGGCGATCCACTTGCTGCGATGGCTGCATGCCACGTCGAACAGGAGACTCCGTCCCCAGCCACCGGGACCACCCGATTGACCTGCCCATCAATACTGTTGCTAGTGCTACTTTGGGAGTGAACAAAGACTCCCCTGACAAATTCCAAGAGCTCAAAGGTGTGAGTCAGCGATAGTCAGGATTCTCGTCTCCCACCCGAGAAGGAAGAGAGAAGGAAGACGAGGGAAAGAGGGATGAGAAGTATGGAGTATAGACAGACACAGAGAGAAAAGGGAAAGTGAGTCAAAAAGTCGGGGAGAGACACTGGCGGGGCCGGCCTCAGGCACAAACCCACTCTTCCCCTCCTCATCATGTGCAGCCCCTCTCCCCCCTTCTGTTCGCTGGGTTTCCCACTTGTTCTGCTTCTTTCCTGCTTCTACGGTCACTCTCGTGCCTCCAGATGATTCCGACCATCCTCATGGTCCGACCGGTTCAAGTCATCCGGCCAATTGGCTCATTGGCACCATCACACAGCGAACGTCACCGGCGCAAGGGCCACCAGCTTCCATCTGAATTTCCGGGTCTCCAGGGAGCCCCTCTCCCTGTGGCTACGGGCATCTACGGCTGGGTCTACTACTGACAGGTATTCTACTCGATACTAGTGATCCGATCAGAGGACCATTTAGGATCATCAAAGTCTGTAAGGGAAGACAAAGGGGGGGAGGAAGTAGGATCGAGTATCTGGGCAGGGGCTGAACGGCGGGTGTCAGACCTCCGTGTCCATGGTTGTGCCTCGATGGTAAATGTATCTGGTGTATTCGTGCTGCTATATAGATAAGATCTCGCATGCGAGACTGCAACAAGTGTACAACACCCCAGATGGGGTGTTGCAGATTACAGTGATTAGATCACACCCACCTAGATATTTGGAAGAAAAAAACCCAGATCCTCGTCGAGGCATTCGAACCTGCAGAACTCAAAACAGAGGGATCTATCAGAAGAAACTGGGGGCCGGTGGGTCGTGCCGTGACACCTACCCACCGGCGCAGGCCCGCCGAAGCAAAGAGGGCCTGCCAGTTCATCACGGGGTCCAAATAAATGAGGCGATCTTAGTTTCCAGATATCGCATCCAGCAGTCTAGCGGCGACCGCGACGCGAGGCGCAAGAAAACAGACACGAAAACCCATCAAGACGTGCAGAGAACAGCAAGCGATGCAAATACACCCAAGGCAGAGAGAATACGCGAACAACGCGCGGAAGACAGGTTTGTCCCCGAGCTAGGACCCGCTGACCGTTTCTCGATCATACCATTTCAGATGTATGGGCGCAAGGAAATTCGTCACCTCGTCAAGCTTTGGCCATTCCTGAGAAGCGGGATAGGAGCGTCCGAGGTCCTGCGCTCAGACAATGTCCCACACCTCCTCGGCGGCATGGCAGAACTTGCTGCATGCGACACTGGCACTCAAGCTGTAGTTACTGATGGAAATCGTGTCGTCCTTGAAGGAGTCGGCAAAGTCATCGTGTCCCTTGGCCATGGCACCCACGAAGATACAGACGCTCTCCTTGGGGCCCAGCGATTCGATGTAGTCGCGAGTGCGCACCACGGGGGCTTCGAAACTGAGGGTCACCTTGCGGCAGTTGGGGGGAAGGTGGTCGGTGATGGGGTTCTTGATGACCTTCAGGAGCTTCTCCTGGGAGTTGGTGGAACGGATGGAGAGGCGGTGCAGCAGCTGCACCATCAAACCAGCGAATCGCTTGAAGGTACGAGGAATGCGCACGCTAGGGTTCACTTCGATCAAGACACCCTTGGCAGTGTGGATGAAGATCTGCAGCTTACCCGCCTTGTTCACGGGGGAGTCGAGCAGGGTGAGCAGGCACTGATGAGCATTGATCATTAGCAACTAGCCACCAAACCATTGCTGGCTATCCCAGACAGAGCAACTAACCTGATGTGTGATATCCGGGCGAGCCTCACTGATATCCCGGTTCATCTTACGCATGACACCAATGTGCTCATCGCTGTTGAGCAGGGAGTACTTCTCATCACGACCGGAACCATTGCGTCCGCTGGAAGCCCGGTAGGTTTCCAAGCTGGCATGGGAGAGAACGACAATCAGACGCTGGGTCTCCTTGTCATGAGCAGGGATGGGAGTGTGCTGTTCCGCAACGAGCTGGGGCAATTCGGGAGGCGGGCAGGATTGCGTCCCTGCAGGTTCAGTCGAGTCAGCAACCATTTTTGATGGTGAAAGCAAAAAAGACAAATCCACGCGGTCGGTTGAAGATTGTGAAGCTGAGATGAAGCTGGACACTGGGTGATGCGACAGACAGGGCGTATCACAGTGACAAAAATAGGAAAAACGGTGATTATGGAAGTGACAAACAACGTAGAAAGAACAGTGATGCAGGGAATTAACCCATCAGATGATGGATGATGAGTTTGCGAAAGACAAAGAGAGATAGCCGTGAAGAAAAAGTAAGAGAGAAAAAAAGGAATGTTGATCTCCCGCGTTGGCGATAAGAAAAATCAGGCGGGGAATAGCACGAGGTTGTCACCGGCTGTACATGAGATGACAGCAAGGCTGAGAAGTTTGGGGGAGAAAAGCAGGGAAACGCAGGGAAAAGCAGCGAGCGATTAAAGAGCGAACCGCGGGATTAAATTGCAATTGGGGGGAGGGAACGTACTGGCACGCTTTCTCTTCCCGGCAACCTGGATAGGATCCGACATGATGCGAATTGATTGATGGGTGATGGTGCAAGATTATAGAGGAATCCCGAAGCAGAGCTTTTCTCAATCCTTGGAATTATACCTGCAACTATATTCCTCACTTGGAATGTTGCTGGTTGAGATTAATGGGGAATTGAGACCGCAACGGAGGTTTGGGGAAGTGGAAAAAAAGTAAAGCGAGGAAAAGTACGAGAGGAAAAAAAAGATGGGAAGACGAAGGCGGCGATGAAGAAGGAGACTAGGCTCAACGGGAGTTTATAATAAAAAGATGGTGTGAGCAGCAAAGCAATAGCTTTTCAATTTTCCTTTTTTCTTTTTGATTTTCTTTTCTGCCCCCTTCCTTCTTATTCTCTCTGACAGTGTCTCTCACGTTATCGCAATGCAGATTCCCCTCACTTGAAGGGCAGAAGAATGGGCGAAAAATCAAGTCCAGAAAAAAGTCCCCGAGAGCGACAGAAGACAAGCAGTAGCAGTCAATAGCAGTAGCAGCCGCCGGGGTAATCCATTGGTGGCAGTTTGGGGGCTGGCCGCCCGGCGGAGTTTCGGGATGGAAAAACAATGCAGAAATCTCGTCTTGGTTCCAAACTCTCTTTGCTAGTGTCATTTCCCGGTTCCATACATTTCGGTCCAGCCATCCAGCAACCCAAGGACAGCTACCTATGATACTGATAGATATAGCATATGCCTGTAAACAACTCTATGTAGGTATTGACTTACTGGGATAGTAGTAGTGGAATGTGGGAAAGAAACAGTCCCAGTGGACGAACAAGTTGCAGGATGTGCCCGCCGGGCCATCCATGCATTTGATGGATTCCTTCCTTCTCATGGGCTAAAGTCTCAACTAGAACATGGCTTGGTCCAATGACCTGAAGTTATCGTGTAATCTCCGATCAGCAATGCATTGGACCGGTGCATTCCTCTTCCTGCCATCATTGGTCTGCTTTGCTTTTCTTCACGCCAGATTCGCATCCGTCAGCCTCGTTAGCTTCCTTCACTCGGGGTTTGAGTGTGTGATTAGATGAAGGGTGAGTTAGTTAGTGACTCGGGAATAGTAAGTAGTCACCTGCTAACCACCATGGCCTCTCTCTCTCTCCGTCTCGTACTCGGATTAAATAGACGGATCACTGGCTCGGTTCCTGATCTCAAAACCCGTTAACGAGTTAGTTACTCCTTCAGGAAGTGTCACTAGCTAGCTAACTAACTAGTTGATTGTCTTACTCCGTGTCTTACTCAGATGTAAGACTCATTACCTAACAATACGGCTCGCAACGCCCTTCCTCCTTTCCCCGTCACCTCCTGGACTCTTCATCAAGCATCTATCGGATTAACCCCCCCCCCACCATGGCAGTATCTCCGGATTCCTGGCCCATGCCCACCTTTGCAGAAGATACCCTCGTACACAGTACCCTGATGTGTAACCCTCCCGGTTACACAGAGGCGTGACTGCCGGGCCACTGTGTGCTCCAAGTAGCCTCTAGAAAAGACATCATTGTTCTACCGATGACAGCTTGTCGCGTCGGCATCTGGCCAGTTTGTAACAGTACAGTCGTTTGATGAGAAGCCGGTTGTCGTGCCCCGCCTCGGATCTGTCCATCTACATCCGATTTGACTTCATCTCCTTGATTGGGGTACGCAGCAGCAGCAGCAGCAGCAGCAGCAGCAGCAGCAGTTGTACTATCTACCTATCTATCTAGTCATTGAGACGGATGGAGGAATGTAACTCTCTGTGCAGGTTCAACCGAACTGGAAGCAATCAGAGGCGTCGGATCTACCATCCACTGGCAGAACCCCCTCACAGGACGGGAGGCGAAAGGTGACAAGTCTTGCCTTGGAAGAGGGACAGTGAGGAGATAGATAAAAAAGCAAATAAGCTACCTAGATGGACGATCCGCGTTCTCATGATCGGTCCTCACGATCGGCATCTTCGATCCGGCTGTCAGTGATTTGCTTTGACTTGGAGTGACTTGCTTTGGGTTGTTGGCTACGTATTTGGCCAGTCTAGGCTGCGATGACATAAAGACACATCATGTAAGGACCTGAAAAGACAACCCACCCCCCATGTGGTGTGACAGCTGGCCTGGAGCAGCCCAAGAATGGATCACATAGCCATTTTCAGACAAGGAAAGAGACAAAAAGGCAGAAACAGAGGAGAGGGGGAGGGATAGAGAGAGACCACCGATGTGTTAAGTAGATCAAGATCAGCCGGGAGCCCTGTGTAGCCATCACATCCAATCCTGGAACAAAGCTGAGGACCCGAGCTGCAAGTCAAATGCCGGCAAGGCAGTGCCAGAACATGGCTGTGGCCCAGTAAGGCATCAGTGTTGGTTCGTTTGTTCAGCAAGGGCGAGGTTGGGGGAGCGATAAGACCAGACAGAAAAAGAAAAAGAGTCAGAGAAAGACGGAGAATAGCGCTTGTTTCCAGTCGATCTGGTGGAATTTGCCTCACACCATTTAGTAGGGTTGTTAACGATGGATGGATTGTTGTGTGTACGGAGTACGGAGACTCACTACTCATCAAATACTACTAGTACAGTATGTGGAGTTGAGAGAAGAGACGAACGGGGAGATGCACGAATAGGAAAATGGGATGAGTCAAATTTAGTTTTATTTAATCTTGTACATCATCACCAGGAGAGGGAAGATGAAGTGACGAGGCTGGCCACCTCAGCTGCCACCGACTTGTTCATACATACGGGAAGAGTCCACTACTCAGGAGTGGTGTTGCACCACAGAGTCTGGTTGGTTGGGGGCTCATGATATAAGGAGGCGAAGTACGGGACGGCAGAATGAATGAGTCGATGGCACAGCATCGAAACTGGGAACCTTTACTCATAAAGTAAGCTCATTCTCTCGTTCGTCCAGTAACAGCCGGGCCGTTTGTGATTTAAATCTTTCATCTGCTTCAAATTTCTTTGGCTGCCAGTGAGTAATGGGTGTTCCACACGTATCACCTTGTTCAAGTACTTTTCACTAGTATTCGGAGGTGGTTGGTGGTTCTGAATGAATGAACATTCATACATGACTCTGTTGTTGCATCCTGCGGACACGACGCCACCGTGGGTTATTTTCATCATTGTTAGTTATATAGCTGGGATGTGGGGGGGAGCAGCATCATCATCATCAGCTTAGAGCTTGCTGATACACGGGAATATCAAATTATTAAGGAAAAAAAAAAAGGAATAAATATCAGCTGCTGCCTCTGCTGATTCACACTCTCATCCGTGTCATCATCATCATCCTCTTCATTCAATTCATCAGCTGGTGAGTAACTAACTAACTAACTATATAAAGGGTAAAAAACGAAAAGGCAGCAATATGACTGAATGTGGTTTAGACCAGTGATTCTCACGCGTTTCCCGTCGATCGGCGACCGCCAAATCCGCCCTTCCCAATCCATAATAATTTCCTGGCATTCCGTCAGGCAGCTCATTCCACTGCATCATCGATCGGCTCTCCCTGCTTCTCTCGATTTCTTCTTCTTCCTACTTTCCTCCTTCCTACCTCCTTCTCTTCCATCTAGAATTACGACCTCTGCCATAAATGTTTTACCTCGCTTGAATGCCTCTGGTACATCAGAAAGGGAGATGCCGTGGACTGTGACAAACTCATTCAAGCGGTACGTTGTTGAAATCATGCCCCTGCTCCTTAATTCCCTTATCCCTTGGTTGCCGCCACTCCCAACTAACACGCTCCCCTCTTGATTCCCCCCACGCAGAGGTCTCATGATGAAAACTTACGGACGGCCACTTTGGCGCGTCTACGACGAAGACCAACGGCCTGCCGCCAAAAAACGACGCGTTCAATCCGGCAATGATTCCGACGAAGCCGAAAATAGCATCCAATATGCCATCCGCGAGTCTTCCGCCGCCATCATGTCCAGTCCGTCGCGTCGCAATTCTATTCTTCTCTCCGAAGGCACGCAGGAAGATGATCTATCGACACCCCCATCTTCTCCCCCACCGCGATTAAGCCCCCCTCCCGCCAACACGCGGAAACCCACGTTTGCCTTCTTGAAGCGTAAACAGTCCGCCACCAAGGATGCCAGCAATGGCACCCCTGTTACGAATGGCACTACCACCAACGGCACCACGAATGGCACCCCACTCACCGAGGTCAACTCTAACAGCGTGCGCGCCTCGGTGGACCCGCCCAAGAAGAAAGCGCCGCAGCCGCAGCAGCCGCCAGTCTTGAAGCAGATGCAGATCGACCTGGGCCACGAAGTACGGAGGACGTGTGCAACTTGTGGCATGGAATACGTGCCGTCGAACACGGAGGATGCGGCATTGCATAAGAAGTTTCACGATATGAACTCCACAGGGGTAGATCTGGGGAAGGCCTTCATGCGGGCCAACGCATCACGCTGGGTCTACGAAGCTACACGGTTTGACGAGGGATATGTGGTCATCGTGGATCGCAAGGCATCGCCGACCGCGAAGAACCAAGCGAAGAAGGTGCTGGAGGTCATTTGCAAGGAGCTGTCGTCCCCGACGATCGAGGATGAGGTTCTGTGGAGTCAAACGGAAGCGCCCAAGCATCTGCAACAGAACGGAGTACCGGAGAAAGTGGACCGGTACAAGGTGTTTTTGCACATGAAGGACAGTCGATGTGTAGGGGCATGCTTGACGGAGCGAATTTGGGAGTCACGGCCGGTCAAGAAGTCGGCCGTTTCGGGCAATGGACCGGACTCGTCGGTCACGGTGGGAGAGGAAAGGCATCCGGCCATCGTGGGCATTTCGCGCATATGGACATCGGGCTCTTCACGCCGGAAAGGCATTGCCATGGATCTGTTAGACTGCGTGGTGAGCAACTTCATCTACGGGATGGAAATCCCCAAGGAGCAGGTGGCGTTCAGCCAACCGACCGAGAGCGGCAAGGGGCTGGCGCAGTCATTCTTCGGCAACGAGGAGTGGCATGTTTACGAGGAAAGCTAAGACGACGACGATAGACTACGGAAAGAAACAAGAGATTGCATTTGATTTCTTTTTGCATGGTTAGGACTGAAGGGGAAGGGGGAAGACCGACGGGCGGACATTGTTTTCGTGATACACGGGCGAGTTGATACCCAGGCTTTCTCGGGCATTGACCTTCGAGGGAGGGCTTACTCTTGTGACGACCATTTGTGATTGCACGCGTTCATTCGATATTTTCCTTTTTTTTTTTTTTATCTTTCTCATTTCTTTTAACTGACTGTATAACTGGAAGAGGTGTTTATTGGGAGGGTCCGTCGGGTTCCGCGTGGCTTGGTATATTCTTCGACTACCGATCTACCATTCTTCACTGTACCATATATATCCTTATTTCTTCTTTTCTTTTTCTTCCTTTCTTACCCCCGATATTATTATCTCTTTCATCATTTATCCGTGTTTTCTTTTGTTTCCAATATGTGAGTGTGAGAGTGACCGTGAATATGAGGAGAGAAGAGAGGGCAAATACGACCCAGGCAGAATGCAGCATGTGAGAACTACTATTTACCGACATATACTATACTATGTATGCACATCTAGTAGTTCATAGTAGTTTATGAACCTTGTAATGGAAGCCGCGGAACCTTGAAAGTAAGAGCCAAAGGGAACTAAACTAGGACTAAGCAGTAGTAACTAACTAAATACTAAAAGTAAGGTTGTGGCCGAGAGGCGCTCTCTCTCTCTTCCTCTCTTTCTCCAGTTGTTGACTTACTTCCGCTACTTGCCCTCTCCGTCTCTCTCTCTCTCTCTCTCTCCCTCTTCCCTTCCTTCCCCCTTCTCTTCCATCAACCCTCCCCTCCTTTTTTCCTTGCTCTCATGGTCAGTGCTGCCCTTCTCCTCCGCGATGTCTGGATTAAATCCTTTCCGCCCTAAGAAGCCCGAGAGTGAGTCCGTCCGGCGGTTCCGGTTCCTGCGCACCGTTCGTCGCGTGCTGGTCGGACGAGATGGACGGAGCTGTCCCTGACCCATGATGCTGACCTCCTCATCCTAGATACTACCTTCGCTGCTCCTGCTCCTGCTCCGGCGCCTTCTCTACCTCAGTCTCTGCCTCAGCCCTCCTTCACCTCGTATCCCTCGAAACCCGCTCCCTCCGTGACCTTCCCTTCCACCTCGTTCCGCTCTGTCCCTCGAACCCCTCCCGCATCCTTGACCCCGGATCCCGACGATACGGCCTCCTCCGATGACCAGTCTGCTTCGGACCCCTTCCACCAGCAGTCGTATGCGACCGATGACGATGGAGAGGCGGAGGACGAGGATGACATCGATGAATTAGATTCCAAACGCACCTACCAGGTCGCTCACCTACCTTCCCGGGACGATGATCGCTCCCAGCCATCGATCAGGACCGTTCCAGACCCAGCCTTATCCTCCAGGAGATCCGCGCCGCCCGCAGCCATTGCACTCCCAGCGCAGAGGAGCACCCATGATCGTCCAGTAGACCCGGAACAGGCTGGCACGCCTCGCGAGAATGCGCCCGTAGCTGGTTCGAATGTGTCGACGCGTTCATCCACGTCTTACGGAGGCACCCGGACGCCCGACAGCAGCTCCACGGATGTATCTCGACCGTCCGACCTGCGTACCGGTCCAGCTACTCGAGCTGGGTCGGGATTGACCCCATCATTAGATCCTAGTTCACGTCCTCTTGCCAGCCGTCCAGGTAACAGGGACCGGATACCTCCGCCTCCGCCCAAGAGTCATCATGGGAAACGGATCGCCCCTAGCCCTGGTATCACACCCTCGCTCGCCCAAACTACCCCTGGCAAGACAACCAACCGCTTCTCTTTCCATGGCTCCCCATCTGAGCCATCTTACTCCCCTAGACCCTCCCAATCAGGGTCCGACTATTTCTCCGCAAAGCCCAAAGACGAGCCGCGGTCGACTGAGCAGTCAGCGGAGTCCCTACGGCGGAGTCAATCGCAGCATAAACGACCGCCAACTCCACCGCTGAGCCGACGACACAGCCAGATGAGACGGTCGAAGACCACAATGTCCAAAGTCAATCCATTACGGTTATCCATCCATGTGGCACAGGACTCAAGCGCGGCATCATCGTCATCATCTCCGCCGCCCAGTCCAGGCGGCTGGTCCCTGAACCCATCACGAACTCGGGAGTCTCGCGCGGGCAGTAATCCGTCCGAGGAGCCCATGCACACCGCGACCTCAACCCTGCGCCCGGAACCCTCTGCAGCCGCACCAGTGTCGCCCACAGAAATATCACATCCGACGTCAACAGGATCGTCGACGAAGCGGACCTCGCTTTACAACCCTCTTCCCCCACCTCCGCCGCCGCGACGGTCTCGCGGATCCAGCAATCACAGCATTGACAGCACTGGTCAGAGTCTCCGATCGGGCAGACCAGCCGACGAGACAACAGCGGCACCAGCAGCGCCAGCAACACAGGACGAATTCGTCCCACATCCGTCAAACGCGCATGACATTCTGGCCGATTTGACCCGGTTACAGAAAGAAGTAGACGATTTGCGCGGGCATTACGAGAGCCGAAAGGCCAGCCAATAGGCCCAGCCGAGTATGGGGCCTGGCTTTGTTCCTATCCTTATCTCACTTCTGTTCTGCAGTAAGAGCAAATGAGCCCCAAGTTAGGCATAGGCATCGTAGGGAGTGAGAGTGGCTGAAAGAGTGTACATGGGCACGTGAACGTGAACGAGTGATGAAGCATAGCGTCTGGTTTTTTTTTTGGTATCCCTTCCTTTCTTGAGTATAGTATATGTTTCTGTTGGGTCAGTGAGGTATGCAAACTATGCATGTGTTGTACTATTCCTAAATCAATCCCGAGAGATTTTGGTCAACTCCTTTTGGGCCGGATCGAGTTCGTGTGATGGCCATAACCACCAGACAAGAAGCTTGACTGCAGACCCGCACAGAGGGTCCATAGTTAGCACGTATTACTACTATGCTAGTAGCAGTGTTCTCGCATACTAATTCAGTTGTTTTGAGAAGGTATGCATGTATTAGATTCGGTTAATCAATGAATCAATCAATCAACTGACTGAAGAACAACCATAATAAGTAGATGATACACGTTCCTAGTACCCATGTATACTATGATACTACTATAGTCATACGACTAGGTCACTAAGTTCGTTACATTTGATATGAGTTAACAGTCACAAGGACTACTAGTCCTACTTCTACTTCTATACTAGTAGTATGATGCCCTTGATTTCCTTCTCTATAGAGAAAGAGAGAGAGAGAGAAGGGGGGGGGGGAATTGAGCATGCTATCCTTTCACAGAAAGATAATATACTAAACAAACATAGAACTGGTTAACCAAAGACGAAACGGTTTGTTCTACCACTTTATGTTCTATTTCACATCATAGAATAACTATCTGAACCACCACCATGATATCAATAACCGCAAAACCCTCTAGGACATGAACGAAAAGAAAAAAGAAAAAGGAGGAGCAGATATGAACAAGATATCATCCCAAATACAACTCCAACGGCAAATCATGATACATCTGATAATCCAACTCCACACTCCATTCCAAAACAAAGAACTTGACTAGCGCCACAACAGCCATGCAACTTAACCCCCCCCTCTCTCCACCTACTTCTTCCTTTTGCTGGTGAGGAACTCTCCAGAACATGGTCTCATCGAGTGATACTATACTATCTGGCCCATCACCCATCTTTCTCCGCCCCTCATACCATACTGCCGCTATATCCGTTACAATACGCACTGCGTCCCCGGAATTGCCGCTCCCGGCTAGCACGGCACCTGCGGCTAGGTCGGCCATGCTGCCGTTGTGGACGAACTGGGGGTCCCAGCCGCGGGCGATGAGCCGGTCTGCGTGCGTGGAGACGGTGGTGCGGAGGGTATGGGCGAGTTGGGCACGGTAGTGGTTCATGCGAGGTTTGGCGAAGGCGAGGAGGATGTCGCGGAGGCCGCGGTGGATGGACCATGAGAGGGAGGACCAGGGGAGGTAGTCGAGGCAGGTGTTGAGGATGGTGGCTTCGTGGGGTGGGACGTGTAGGGTTACGGAGTGGGTAGTAGTGGTGGTAGTGGATTGGTGGCGGGGGTTGGATTCAGTGCTGGGGAGGGAGAGAGTGGTGGAATTGGATTGTAGCTCTGGTATATCGTAGTCTTTAGTGTCCTCGGTGACGGGCTTCATCAATAGAAGATCGACTTCATTGACGTTGCCTCCAATCATGTTGTAGAGGTGTCTGCTGCCGTGGGCGCCGCCAAAGCCTCGCACGATGTGTTCGAGAACCCACCTGCCTGATGCTTTGCGGCCGGGAAGGGCGCATTTGAATGGTGGAGAGGACGCGGGGCATTCGATGACACCGGCTAGCATGCGCAGACAGCGGTCGACACGGACTTCAAAGGTCGGAGGGTAGACGTCTTTGTTCAGAGTGTGCGAATCGTGGGCCGCGAAGTGGACGTGTGCGGCGTCACCAATGGGCCATTCGACGTACCATTGTCCGCAGTAGGAGGCGTATGCGGCTCGATGGCCAGATGCGCCGCTGTGTCGGAAGACTGGTCGAGCATTGGTTACGGTGAATAGAGCCATGAGGGTCGCGCGAGAGATGACCGTGCAAGCGGTTAGCTTGTGCTTGGTGAGAGGGCCTCGAGGGAGGCTATCCCAGGTTGGCAGCTGGACTGGCGGTTCCCCCGAGATGGTCACGACGTGCTCAATCTTGACGGGGCTCTTGGTAGAGACTAACGAGCCGGTCTGGGAGAGTTGTTCCAGGGTGGTAGAAGGTGGATGGATGACGTTGAGCAGGATAGACCATGCAGCCTTACCTGTTGGCTGCGCGAGTGGCCGCCGACTGACATGAACGGTCTTTCTGCCACAGAGCCCGCATGGCAAATTGGCGTTGATTACAGGCCCGACAAGAGGGGGCTTCACGACTCTATACCATGGTACATGTGGCTGCCAGAACCGCCAGCGGCCCAGGTGTTGTACATCTCGCAGGGTGTGGAAGGGGTCAGTCTGATCGATGATCGTCCCGAATTGAGTGACAATGGAGCCCAGCCCTACCACCGTAACGGCGAGAGAGAGCCAGGTAGCCACTGTTGACGAGACATCCATTCGGAGGCTAAACCCAGCGAGCAGCCGAGCGACGATACTCTTGACTGACATCGAAGGCGAGCTCATGATCTCTGGAGGGGCCTGGGATAAGTAAGTTGAGGGGATGATGAAGGGTTGCTGCGCTAATGCATCTGAGCGTCTCGGCCGCCAACCATCGACCGCCGTCGTCGCAGGATCCGAGTGGACTCCGGCTGAGATCACCATCGATGTTCATCTTCGCAAATAGAATGCATGCTGGTTGCGCTTGGATTCCCTTCACGAGGCTTTCCAGCGCCTTGCATGATCGCAATAACAGAACGAGGCGCTTCAGCTCCTCCAGCTTTGAGTGCCGCTACGATGCTGCCAAAACCAGTGTGTTGGCAGGCACATAAAGGCCTTGAGTGGCCTCTGAGAATGAAAGATGTTGAATACCAAGATCTACTTGTAATTTCTAGTCCCAAGTGAGGTCCCGAGATTGTGCGGTGGCCATCATGTGTTCTACTTTCTCCTAGACTGCTCTTGGAGCCCCATTGTCAGGCAAGCTGCAAGAATGGCAGCACATCCTCCAAGTCTCATAACCCAGCTTGTGCTAGTGTCCCAAGGCTGTCCCCGTGGCTTCTGCAGTGCCTTGAAGATGAGGCTGCCTATCGCACTGGAAATGATCTGGGGGAAAGAAATAGCGACATTATGGAGACCAAAGACGACACCAGCTTGGTTTACTGATTTTGCTTCCGTCCTTCTTGGTTCGTCAGATTCCTGAACATATGGCAGAATACTTGCTCCTTCTACTTCGCCGGATCCCTCTCGACGATGTGCCGGTCGTCCGGGGTCCCCTTGAGCGATCTCAGACGCGATAAGGGCATAGGGTGCCCACGCTGTGACAGCCCAGGCAATGCCGATTATTCCAGTCATCACCGACGCCTGCCCCGGGGAGGAAACAAAGAACGTGCTGAGCATGCAGATGGCAAATAGACAATGAGAGAGGAGCCATGCACGGCGTAGTGATAAACCAGGGATCCTCAATTTCAGTCGAAAGCTGCTTGAACTAGCGTTCGCTTCAGCTGCCATTTGCCTCTCCGAAGGAACCACCAGCATTGGCAGGATGATACTCGCTGCAAAGGACACTAGTGCATTCACAAGCATCGCTAAAGTACCGATGCGTGTAGCATCCTCCCATACCTTGTTGATCTCATCATCCGATAGATCTTGGTGCCTTTCGAAGATAGGGTTCACATACAACTGCCCTATGTAAGTGGTGGCGTAGAACAAGAACGAAAACCACCCAAACCATGCTGCAGCCTGAATAATGTAGACCTGGCGAATGCGCAACGGAAGGCGATGAACTGCGTCTCTAATGGACTGAAGCAATGAAACAAACCCTAGACTGGCAGATGAAGACGGCTCCATACGCGGATCCTTTTCCTTGATATAAGCGCAGCCGATGGATAGAGTGATTGCTAGTGAGACGCTAGCGATTATGCTGATCCCTTTAAATTGTGTATTTCCGAGGAATGGAATCATCCTCGGCAGATTCAAACCGCCAATGATGAAGCCGAAGATGTTCCCTGCGCTGACATGACGGCTTGCCCAGGCATTTGCCGCTTCCTGTTGATGAGCCGGGGCATTATCGACAATGAAAGCCCGGGTGGCTGCCTGAACTGTGACAGGGCGTCAGAATTATGTTACAGGAGAGCCAAGATAGTGTGAAGATCATACCAGTATTGATGGCAAAGTCTTGGCAGTACATTAAAAGCGTTGCAGCCACGATGACTGCAGTTTTGGCTTCACCTGCCTGAGCATCAAGGCCAAACAAGCCAAATAGGCCATCCACTAATTCACGCACCCACGCCAGAGCTAGCAGGCAGATAGCCAAGAGTACGCCACCGAATACCATGAACGGCTTTCGCTTGCCCCAGGAGATGCGGCAATTGTCACTTCGGATGCCAATGTAAGGCTGCACTAGAGTGCCTGTAAGGGGCCCTGCAATCCAGACAAAGGCAAGCAGCGCTTTGCTCATTCCTAGAGATAGAAGATACGGCTATAGGATAAGCCATGTCTAAATTAGCTACTGATACTTTGCTTAATTTCTCGAGGTTTACAACTTACTGATCCACTGGAATGCTGGATCGAATAGACAATTTGGAGACTAGGAAACGGGTCAATGAGGACAATGGAGCAAGCTCTTGCCATTGAGTACTCACCCTCCCATGGCCAGGGTCAGTATGAAGAGGTATGCGCTGCTTTTGGGTGCCTCGTCAGGGGTGGAAGCACCTGGCGGTATATGCGAGTCCGGCGGTACCCATCCATCGCGGATGAGAGGCTCCGCCTCGTTGCTGCGCTCCGTCATGAGAGCAGGAGATCGGGCATTTATCAGTCTCTTTGCTAGCAGTAGAAGAGCTGTTCAAATCCAAAGCAGATGGAAACTAATAGGAATGATAGCTGAGAGGGTGGAATCGATGAAAGGAGGTTGTTTACTTTCTCCGGGCCCGGGGCGGAGTAAAGTAAAAGTAAAGTAGAACCATTAATATCCCCAGGCATCAAGAGGATTCCATGGACGGGACTGACCGCCTGATCCCGAACAGGCAAAAGATCTGTTGCAGACCACAACTAATAGTATTTACATGCAGCAAATAGTCTGGTTTCATGATTAATATTAGATCGAATAGGGAGTTGTTAGGAAATGTGTCTCCTGTTATGTGGAGCATAGGTACCAAATGCATGTTAGTAAGCAAGATTATGCTGTAACTGCTTTTGTTCGGAGAGTACTGTACTGTAATGAGTAGTATATCAAGCAGGCTAATTTGGATGTGTTTGATAAGAACCGTAAGTAGTAACAGTGGAGAGTTATCATATCGTATCCATGTAAGACCCTACTTTTGACTTTCTCATTTTTCGTTTATCGTTGGTGAAGAACACCTTCAGCCGCGGGCCCACTCTTTCGATAGCAGGGGAATATATATCTAGATAATAATATCTATCTACTATGCAGTACTTAATATTAATATCTAAAGCTTCGAGATTTTTCCATGTCCGATCCCTGACTAATGGTGTCATCGAGATAAGGATGGTGAATATCACTAAGACGAAGCCGGTTAGGCTTCCGTGATGATTGAGAGGTTCCCGATGACCCGAAGTCATCAACCGCGTCCTCAATCCCCACGTCCCTCGCTCCTTCCCCTCTTCTGACTTCTTGCTGTTCAGTGCGTGACAGAGTCGTCTCCGGAACTGCAAGCGCGAGTATAAATTCGCCATAAGCAACCCCAGGCAGCTGTCCAGCGTGAATCCTGGTGTGCAAAACTCTCATTCGGCGACTCGGTTCTAATTGAAGCATCTATATTCTTCCGGCCATGGCCCACAATACCAGTGCCCCCCGCATAACTGATGCGACAAAAGGTACTGTCCACAACCATGGCACTAGAACTCTTCGAGAGCACTCATAGCTAACACATCTCAGTATGGACAACTCTAATTACAAACACTGCCTACCTGTCGGGGCTACTGACCCTGGAGTACTCCCTCCGTAAAGTGGGCTCGAAATATCCGCTGATTGCTCTCTACACGGACTCCTTCCCGGAGGAAGGCCATGCTGCTCTCGATGCCCGTGGAATCTTGAAGCAGCGTGTCCCTTATTTGCTGCCCTCAGTTCCAAAAGACTATGTCAATGATGTGCGGTTCTATGACTGCTGGAGCAAACTTACGCCCTTCTCTCTTGTGGAGTATGAGCGCGTTGTGCAGCTGGACAGTGACATGATGATTCTCCGCAACATGGATGAGTTGATGGAGCTCGAGCTAGACCCTCCAGCCCTGGCTGGGACAGGGAATCGTGTTTTTGCCGCCAGTCATGCTTGTGTCTGTAACCCGCTGCAGAAGCCGCACTACCCTCCTGATTGGTATGGACTATCCATCTTCCATTCCCGAGTCCTACGAGGACACAACTTATCCGACAAGTAAACAAATACTAATGCACCTTTGTCCAGGATTCCATCCAATTGCGCATATACATCCCAGCATGCCACCCCGGATGTCGCGCAAACAGAGGGCGCTTCACCCACGGCCGGGCTGGGCATCCCCAACGGCGGTCTCCAGGTGGTCAATCCGTCCCACGAAGTCTATGATAAGATTCTGGCGCAGCTGTCCTCATCTGCGACCACCAACTATGAATTTGCCGATCAATCCCTGCTATCAGATGTATTCTTTGGGCGATGGGTGGCGCTGCCATACATTTACAATGCGCTCAAAACCATGCGGTGGGAGGGGATTCATGATGCGATCTGGCGAGACGAGAGCGTCAAGAATATGCACTACTTGCTCAACCCCAAACCGTGGGATGAGAGCGAGGCTGTCCGGTCGGGTCGCGAACCTCGCTCAAGCCGGGAAGCGCCACACAGCTGGTGGTGGGACATTACGGAGGAGAGAGTGAAGGAGGAAAAGGCCAGAGGGGTGGATGACAACTTCTAATTTTTTTTTCCACATCTTATTTTTCAACTTATGTTTATGTTCCCTTTCTCGGACAAGTGAATGCCGCAGCGCTATCACAGTATATTAGACCTGTCACCATACGAAACCAATGCCACATTAATAGAGTCATTCTTCGAGGGTCCAGATGGAACGGGAATGCAAGTATGGCGTACATTCATTCCAGGTTGGGGTGAGAGGGGTGTAGTGGGAGGCTGCATTCGGAACCCGACCATTCAGGCTCCCAGGTGTCGAGCCCCGCGCCCGATGTTGATTGGTTGGCGAAGTGCCAGCGGCCGGGGTGACGTCAGGGGCTGCTGGGGGAGAGACTAAACCATTTCGGGATCATGGCATAGAGAGGGAGCCGAGTTCAAGCATTCATCATCATAGTACTACGGAGTACTGGACTAGTCACAATCACCTCCAGGGGAAAATGCCCCCTCCGAAACCGCGGGGAACTGACGATGGCTTTCCGAAACATCCACTAGAAGACGCCTGGAATGGACCTGCATTGAGGCTGGGAGATAGTATTCTAAGAAAAGAAAACCAAAAAAAAGAGAAAGAAGGCGAATCTGCTTCAGATTGAAGGTTTGAATGAATGATGCTGGCCCACCGACAGCCTCACTTTCATCACTGACCCGTTCATTCATTCATTTACTTCCCTCCTACTAAACTACTACTACTGCCACTACTTCTACTACTACTTACCCTCCTGTTACTATTTAGTCCACAGTACTACTACTACTACTACCACCACCAAGCTGGCTTTGGACCCTCCGCACCCAAACTTTAAAAACCCCATTGCGATCTCCCAACTCTTACCACGGATCCCCCCCCCCCGTCTCTTATTGTTACGCGACTTGGTTCATCATCAGTAGACCAGCCAATTCAACTGCCCCGCAGATCCATCCGTCTCTTCTCTCAAACCATCTTGTTATTTGCTTCCCTAGTCTTTCGCATCCAGATCAACACCCTTACCGCTGCATCTCCTTGAAGGACTACACCCTCGTTAAATCGCGCCATCTACCTTTATCGTTTATTGCATTTCACATTGGGCAGACGTCCCTACATTTTGTGAATATTCAACTTCAACCGAACTTTACCAGGACATGATGACTACTCCCACTCTGATCAATCTCCCTCCCCCGCCATCGGACCCAGTGACTCCATCGGACATGGGGCCGTAAGTTCCCCAGCTTGTTCAAGCTTTCATTCTGATTGTGTCATGCAGCGTTTCGCCTTTATCTTCATTTCTTTAGTACCATTATCAGATCAGGCTGACAAGAAGTTTGCGACGCACTAGAGGGACCCCGAACTCCGGCACAACTTCGTTGTCGGCCCTGTCTACAACCGCCATCAAAGATGGCCATCAGGGTCAGCCTCTTCCCCACGGTCGTCACGCCCACCACTCCCATTCCGCATCTGCTACATCCACTACCACGCTGGAAGCAGAACGCGCCGACCGTATCTCGCGTCTAGCAGGCCTGGAACGAGTGGCTACGGCTCGAGCGGGTGGCACTCCACAGCCCTCGGGCATGATGGCAGGGACTCAATACCCCGGCTACTTTGACAGTGGATCTGGGGTCAAAGAAAGAAGTACGGTAGGCAGTGCTAGTGCGACAGGCAGCGTGGGCGCCCGCACGACCTGGGCCAGTGGCAGTGATGCGTTCGATGCAGACCGAATGAGCGAGTACCCGGAGGACGGGACGTCCAGTGTAGGCAACTACAGCGATGAAGGCGACGCTAGCCTGGTGGCATTCGGCGAAGGTGCCAGTACCATTAGTGGACCAACTTCACATCCGCTGCTGAACCGAACATCATCGGGACATCGACCTACCTCGTTGGGCAGCCCTGGAGTGAGCCGTGCGAGCGCATTCGCATCCCACCATCAGCAACACTCTGGGGAGGGCGCAATGCTGCTGTCGACCCAGTCGCCGACCGGATCCGTGACACCAGAACCTACACAAGATGCGCGGATGGTCGATGGGATGACATTTGACTCGGATGTGATTGACACCACGGTGAGGACCCCGCGATTGGCCACTCCCGCTCAAGGTGGCGAGCAGCCGACTTTTTGAGTTACTAGTTTGCTTCTTTTGTAAGTGAAAGAGGGAGACAGACAAACAGACAGATTGATGGCAATAAGGGCGGATTGTCAAAAGGATAGGATTACGGGCGTTGCTGCCAAGTATTTTCAAGCTTCAATCAAGTTCAAGGGTTTTTGGCATTGTAATTGTACGGGAAAAGAATGGGACATGTTTTTGATGGAAGGGGGGAGAAAGGAGGATAAGATCATTATTGACGAGGGAGGCTTTTGTGGGTTCTGATCATTTATTTTTACATGGTTCTCTAGGACGAGAGAGAGAGAGAGAGAGAGAGAGAGAGAAGTCGGGATATCAATGAATATTTACTTGTAGAATAGTTAGCTAGCAGCGAGTCATTTGTTTTTATTTATTGATTTATTTATTTTTGCTTTCATGTCAGTTAGTGAAGCAATCAAAAATGCCCACCAAACCAGTCTTGACGAAACTACGACGATGTTAAGTTAATGGGGATTAGATTAATCTAAGCATTACGGGTCCAACGAGGAGGATCTCCATCCCGACCGGAGCAGGACCAGATTGACTCCAACAGGCGAATCGGGGCGAATCTTCTTTTCCTTCACAATTGCCAAAAGTCTAGACTCCCGGGATCTCTGTTACTTGTTGTCCCTCTGGTAGTATGCTTCCCATGTATGGCAGGAAGCATGGTAGTCATCTTATTAATCTAGAAAATAAGATACCCCGTCACTGCAAGTAGTAACAAATTAAGAAAAAGTACTCAGTAGTTGGGGAAAAGATTAAATGGAGGCGAAAAACGAGCAACAATTCAACTGGAACTTGGTGAACTGGGGCCGAGATCGCCCAATGGGGAGGGGGGATTCCATCGCGGGTCCCCCTTCAGCCTTTCACTCCCTCAGTCTGGCTTCTCTCTCTCTCTCGGCGCCTCTTCTTCCTCTTCCTCTTCTCTCTCTCTCTTCCTCTCTTCCTCTTGTCACCTTCCCCACCCCCTTCCAACTTCCTTTTCCCCCTCCTCCTCCCTCCAACCCCGACTGTCTTCCTGTCCCTGTCATTGCTGGCATTGACTTGTCAAGCATCGAGAATTCCCCCTTTGGAACCGGAGACTCGTACTGAGGTATTCGTTCAATCCCGCCAAGCTTCGCTGCCATCCACTTTTGAGTCTTTGTGTGTGTTTGTGTGTTTCGCGGCACTCCAGACCACAACTTCTCGCCACGCTTTCAACCTCCCAACGGTCATATCTTACACCTCGTCCACTCTCGATCTATCCTTTCGTCTTCGTTATCTCTACCCCCCGGTAGTAAAATTTCCGTTCAGTCTTCCCGCTGGAACACTTCCGAAGACTATCCGTGCAATTTTTCTGCTGCCCTGTTACACACTACCTAAGTGGCGGGGAACGTTTTTCTTCTTCTACCACTAAGATCCTGGGTTTTGTGATATTCCCTGGTCCGTCGCATTAGCATCGTCTTCGCGCGCGCCTCTAGCTGCTCCCGTGGCTTTTGTGAATACGTGTTTTGTCCTACCAGAGTGAAACGTTGAGAGACATTTCGAAATGGCAGCTCCCACTCAGCTTGCTTGTGAGTCTACCTACAGTTTTATCCTTCGTCCCATCCTATAATAGAGGACTCGAGAAAAAGAAAACATCGCTTTACTTTCTCGGGGAATTTTTTTGCTGTTCAAGGGCAACTCTAACTAGCTACAGACCGTACGGTCAAGGGCGTTGGCATCTTGGATGCCGCCCCAGTTTATGAACCTTTGTCGGGGTTCGAAAGGTATGTAACGTCTAATTCGTTCGATCTTTCTACTCCGGATAGCTTGCTAATCTTCTTATTTTCTGTTTGTAGACCCGAAGGAAACCTTCGCTGTAGCGCTTACTCTCCCTGCGGCCGGTATTTCGCATGGGCATCCCCAGAGAAGTACGTCAACCGACTCTCACTCAAACCGATAAAGGAGGAAAGGAAACTTACAAGTTGCTTACTAGGGTCACCATCGTCGATCCCTCTGTCGGACATGTGGTCTCGACCATCGCTGCTGATAACGTTTTCGAGCTGGGATTCTCGCCCCTCGGAACCTACCTGATCACCTGGCAACGCTCTTCCAAGGATGCCAACGGCGATGCTGTCAAGAACCTGAAGGTCTGGCAGGTCGTCCAGTCGTCCGAAAACGGCGACGTGGACACGCCTGTGGGCAAGTTCGTCCAGAAGTCGCAGACGGGCTGGAACCTTCAATACACCTCCGACGAGCGTTACTGTGCCCGGGTCGTCACCAACGAAGTCCAGTTCTACCAGAGCGAGAACCTGTCTCAGGTCTGGAATAAGTTGCGTGTGGAGGGGGTTGCGGACTTTGCCGTCGCTCCTGGCAAGAACCACTCTGTGGCCGTCTTCATTCCTGAGCGCAAGGTACGTATGGTGCACTTGTTTACAACCCCGATGAGACTATCATTATTCCAGAGCTAATAAATTGCTGCTTAGGGACAACCCGCTGCTGTCAAGGTCTTTTTGGTGCCTCAGTTTGGAGCCCCCGTCTCGCAGAAGACCTTCTTCAAGGGCGACAAGGTCCAGCTGAAGTGGAACGAGCAGGGTACCACCCTGATCGTGCTTGCGCAGACAGACGTGGATCGGTCGGGCAAGAGTTATTACGGCGAGACCACTCTCTACCTGCTCAGTGCTGGTGGTGGCTTCGACTCTCGTGTGGACTTGGATAAGGAGGGACCTATTCACGATGTGACCTGGTCTCCCAACTCCAAGGAGTTCGGTGTGGTGTACGGCTACATGCCCGCGAAGACCACCATCTTCAACTTCCGTGGTGTGCCCAAGCACACCTTCGCTCTGGCCCCTCGGAATACCATCCTCTTCTCGCCCCACGGACGATTCGTGCTGGTGGCTGGTTTCGGTAACTTGGCCGGTCAGATGGACATCTACGACATGGACAAGAACTTCCACAAGA